CAAACAAAAACAGTGGCACACAGCTCTTATTGTAGCGCTCTTAAGTGGTGATATCCAAATCAATCCAGCCTTGAAATTCTGCACCCAGTTCCTCACTGAATGCTCTCACACACTAACATTCTCCACTATTTCTTTCGTCTGGTGCCCAGCTTTGTGAAGCACTATGATTTGAGCTATAGTTTCAGGCGTTATAACCCTCCTTTTACCCATAATCAAAGATGTATAGCCCTCAAAATCAAAGGGAACACTGGACAAAAGATGAGGCAGATGAGAGACAAAAGTGCAACACTCTCTCTCACCATGGCATCCATGTGAGCAATGAGAAGTTGTCATGTAGAGGGGTACTGAAACGTACGGATAATCAGGGAATAATGGAGTAAGGGGAGTAAGGCAGGAGAGTCTGAGTAGAGTGATTAGCGGCGAGCGGTAGGTAATGTGAGGTCACTGGTGACTACACCTTCACCTCTCATTACTCTACCCACCAACCTACTTACCCTCTCACTACTTGAAATAAAAATAAATGAATAAATGAGTAAATAACGGGGACAGTGAATATTACTATTCTACTCAAATACAGTTTATTATTAAGCCTTTGTACAATAATATATTTGGGAACAGGAGTACATTATTGTGTTTAGATAAATGGGGTGATATACATAAGCAGTGAGACAGGGAATACATTCAACTTGACAAAAATGAATATAACTTACAATATAGGTCAGAGGACAGTTCACCACAGGAACTAAGCCACAGGTCCCAAGACCTACACAGCATGAGTACTGCTCCAAGCCAGTACTCTGCCCAATGTCTCCAACAGTCTCCTCCAGAGACTTCAGCAGCCTTCTCCCGAGCCCTGCACCCCAGCAGCAGCTCTGCTCGAAGTCCCTCTGCTCAGAACTCTGCACAAAGCAGCAGCTCTGCTCAAAGTCTCTTTCCTCAGTTGTTCCTTGGGCTTATATTGTCCCAAGAGCACCCCCACAGTGGGGTGTGCATCACGTGTTTTGACCTGACGCCGAGGTCTGACGCCGTCCAGAACAAAAGACCTCAGTCTTAAACCGAAAAGGAGTGGCTGACAGACGTTTGCCAAGGAAAGGTATGACCATATAATTAGTTAAATTAGGTCTCCCCAGAGACCTCACAACCCCAGCTGAACTACATCACAAAATCACTGTGAAGTGTGGCGGCAGGCCGTGACATGCTAACGGCTGCTATCCAGTATTATGCTTTGGCGCTCATCCAGCATAATGCCGTGACGAGCACTGTATGTGGCCGTGTGGATGCCAGAGCCTATATCTACCCAGGTCCTCCACCATTATCACTATAGTCCACAGGTGTGGACTATAGTGGTCCAGTTATTTTAGCAGGTAATTCAGATGGAGTCCCATGAAAGTGAATGTATGTTTATTTACTTGCACCACTACTAGGGTAATTCATTTAGAAGTGGCTCAGGACTTGTCTGCAGAACAGTTTACACACCTGTTTTGGAAATTTGCAGCTAGGGGATTCTGTCCAAGACTGGTGATTTAAGATAATGCCACTAATTTTACAGCGAGTGCCCAATATTTGATGGAATTAAAGGTGAATAATGATGTTTAATCTCTGTGAGCCCAGCGAGAATATCTGGAAATTATTGTTAACAGAGCTCCTTGGCAGGGTGGGTGTTATGAAAGAAAGGAGTCTACGGAAGGTGCTACACAGGAAAAGAATTAGTTTGGAGGAATTCTATACCATATTAATGTAGGCTGAAAATCGTATAAATAATCATCCCCTCTGATACATTAGTGATACTCCTGATGCAGACACATTAGCACCTTCTCGTTTAAGATGTGGAAAAGATTGGAAGCTTCACCTATTTATAGAGATAATCTTGAAAAAATTGGTGAAGATCATATAGAATTGTTAAGTAATAAATTTAAGATGTTAAATAAAGTAATTAATCATTGGTTCAATGTGTAGCGAAAGGAGTATCTTCTTACACTACGTGAACGCTTTTATGTTGTGTTAGAGGCTGCAAATTTACAGAACATTCAAGCAGGTAACATCGTATTAATTGATACTGAGCAACATCGAACATTGTGGCCTCTTGGCAAGGTATACCCAAACACACATGGTGTCAGGAATATCAAGGTGTTGTGTCGTGGTCAGGAAAGTTTGCATACCATAAATAAATTAATTCCCATGGGATTAAATATTGTTCAACCAAATGTAAATGATAATCTAAAAGAAAGTGACACAAGTGAAATTGAAGATACTGCCAACCAAGGAACTCATGAAGAAGAAATTGTAATAAAGCCTACTAGGAGAATAGCCACTCAAGCTAGAGTTTGCTGGAATCGTCTCATTGAGGAAGAAGCAATTTCAGTCGTTTATCAACGACTCTCCCCCAGCTGCAGTGTGGAAATTTTTGCATAATTTTCTAAATGTAGAACATATAAATGAATAATATAATAATTGTGTAGTAAAATATGATACTGATTTAACCCTTTTGAGAAATTTCAAGTGGGGGAGGGTAGAACAGATGCAGAGTGATGCCGGGGAGAGACGTCTTACTGAATTTAATGTGTGAACACTGGACTGAGCTGTGCAATGTGATCGGGCATTCTCGAAGGTCAGTTGGGGTTTTTCGGCCTGAATTTGTAATTAGGAGCCTGTGTTAATGGCTCCTGCTGAAGAATTGGGAAAGGAAATTTGCGGGACCTCTAGAATTAGTGTGGATGGTGGATGTTGAGAAATGGCATTACCAGCTAAGTTTAAACAGTGAAAACTTAACTTAAGGACAACTCATCGCCTGCACAGCCGCCCCTGCAGACGAGGTCTAGAAGCTGTCGAAACCATCTCACAATGGGCTGTCAAGAAATATAATTTGTAAGATTATAAATTACCCCTAGGGGGTGTTATGTCAGCATTTCATTCACTGATGGCTGACAACTTACTTGTTTGGACTCAAAAGTCCACACCTTACTGCCGACTATAGGCTGATTACAAACTCCTTGCGACTCAAGAACTGCGCAGTCCCCCGTACCACAAGAAATTCGTAACATACCTTGCTCTTGTAACGTGAGCTATGGTGTTCTTCACACCTTCGACAGGTATCGGTGACTTGATAGAAGCTGAAGTGTCCTTGGATGTCCACGTCTTTCATTGTCTAGGAAATGCACACTGGTACACTATGTTCCACAAGATTTGTCTTTATTGTTCACAATCTTATCACAAGAGAAGCTGATCACACTTTTCTCAAGTGTTTATTGTGTTTTGTGAGACACTTTGTTCACACTAACACACAGATCGTTGTTCTTTGTTGGTTATCCTGGCGTCAGTGTCACTCTCAGTAGAGTGAAAAGTAATCTGAAGACGCCACAGTGCCCCATGCCATCACTGCCCCTTGCACAAAAAAAAAAGCTGACCTAGTACTTTTTGCTTCCTTGCCACTTCCTCGATGAAGCAAAGCAGAAGGTTTGATTCTTGCTGTCTTAAGCATAGACAACAATGTCCACTATCTTTACTATGGTAACGAAGTGGGAGCAGGATTTTCCTTAATTGTCCTGCTAAAGTAAGAGATGTACTGTCTCTTATTAAAATACACTCTGCAACACTGGACTGCAAGGAGCAATGGTCGGTTGACCACAGGTCGCATACTCGTACGGCATCTGTGATCAATTACTCACTGTAGCAGTAAACAAGACTTGCCCCTTCTGAGAGGTCTGGGCCCCTCAGGCCTGAAAGGGGCTGAATGGGCTGAAGGGGGCTGATACCCCCCTCCTGGAGAAAATTTCTCCACAGTGGAAGATAGGGGATGCAAACATCCCGCCTGTGAAATGTCTCATATCGCAGGCACTATCTGATGAAAAAATATCATGAACGGTGTGAATATTTAATATATGATTCATCGTATGTAATGGGTGAAACTTATTTTTAAGGTATATGCTGTGAAGCTGCAAATTTTCTTGGAAACTGTACAATAGCTAGGGAATGCATTTTTTGGTCAGTTTGAAACTCTTAGTACTAAGCTCATGTGTTTTCCTCAAAGGAAGCTTCGCCTTGACTTTAGAATGAGTAAATTTTATGTGTCAATTTCATTAATCAAATTGGTTTATGTGAAATAACTGGAGAATTTCTTTTCTAATCAGAAATAAATCACTGTGACTTTATTGGATTTGCCTACGTTAAATCAATATAAGGTATTTTGCCCATAATTGTCTGTTATGTATCCAGTTACCTACGTATTTACTTTCCTACTTTCTTGAATGTTAATTAACCTTTCATGTAGAAAAATGTTGGACTGATTTTTGCCACTAAGTTCTGACTTGTGTTTTCTCATGGGAGAAATTGGGGAAATTGAAATGTTGCTTGACATGCGATGATTTGTCGCATCCAATTAACTTCAACCCTTCTACCCTGATAAATTGATAATTCAATTTCTGAACGGCTCAAGTTAAATGGGCTTATATATTTTAAAAAATTTGTCTCTCTGGGATATCAACGGAATGTCTTCTTATTTTAGCTTCAAATTTGGCTAATGTTGTTGGAAGATTTGCATCTGATTTAGGCTGTGTATGTCCTAACTTACTATTTTTAATGAAGAAATTTCCATATGATGATTTGAGAGTAAACGTTATAATTTGCTTTAAATCATTATTGTTTGTGTTTACCTGCACCAGAAACTCGTGCCACACTCCGCACTATTCCACTCGCGTGCATTCATACACAGGGAACTGGGATTATGGAATACGAGGATAGCTTTCTCGGATTGCACAGCGACCGAAGCACATCTAGGGGAAAATAACTTTGTCTAAAATGTACCTTTCCGATAACTTTTTTTTTTTTTTAAATTACAACATTGCGACTATAACTTAGATAATTACCTTAGTGCCAATAAATTATTATTTTTTCCTGTAAAGATCACTGTTGAATATGAAGATCATTCATGATCTGTTCTCTTCATTATGATAATCCATAGAAAAGATAGACAGTTGGAATATGTTTAAGAAATACAGGCAAAGTGTGTTTTTGGTTAATTTTATTAGCTTCATCATAGCATTGTTAAAATGATGTTCTTCTCGACCATTTTTTTTAAGCTCAATTAGAAATTGGTGCCTTAATGTCATTTATAAGGTAAACTATTATTTCTATAATAAGCACTAAATGAGTTGCCCAAAGATCATAGGTGACAAATCTTTTGACTAGGCAGAGAAAACATGTCAAGCTTAGACAATATTCTCATCCTAGAACTGTGTCAGATCCTCTTTGCTATAAACCCTTTGCTAAGTCCTTGCAAAATTTTCTTTTCAAGATTCTCCGCGCTGTACACTGCATATATCGTATTATTTGGCATGTGCTTTCTTGGCCCTGTAAGAGATATATTCATTGACAGTGGGAGGCGTCTCTGAAGAGTAGGATAACGGCCACATGGGGGTGTTCTTGTCGGCGTGGACGAAGAAATTAAGAGAGAGACGGGGAGACTTCCACAGGACTTGGTCGTCAGGGATCACTACCTGGTGCATCTGAGGGAGTAAATACCAGTGTTCAGAAGATGGGGTAGGCTATATTTCAATCCACGTCTTACACATTCATCCTTAATTATGAAAGATTCCAGTGAAATATGGTATGCATGATCCGAGTTTGCTGACCAAAAGATAAATGTTTTAAACCACTTCATGATCTCTGCCACTCCACTGTCCAGATCGTTCCATTTACTCACCACTTTATTCTGAATACTTCCAATCATCCATATGACTCATTTGTGTTTCAACACGAAACACGATTGCAAACAAATCAGGTAAAGGGTGGGGATTGTACCCATGGCAAGTATGTCCTTAAACTCACAGGCCAGTGCGTTAACCACTCGGCCAGCTGGCTCTTTTAAAGCCAGCTATCTCTAAAGGAACTAACTGTGCCCTCGTGTTCCGGTTTCCCGTCTCAAATAAACTGTCACTCTACAGTCCTTGTGTGTGTGAATGTGTGTGTACTTGCCTATTTATGATTGAAGGAGTCGATTCACAGCTCCTGACCCTGCCTCTTCGCTGGTCGCTACTAGGTCCACTCAATGCTCTATGACCTTTATCGTATCTATTCTTAAAGCTATGTATGGATCCTGCCTCCACTACATCACTCTCCAGATTGTTCCACTTCCTGACAATTCCATGGCTGAAGAAATACTTCCTAACATCCCTTTGATTCATCTGAGTCTTCAACTTCCAGTTGTGACCCCTTGTTGCTGTGTCTCATCTCTGAAACATCTTGTATTAATCCATTTCGTAAATTCCTCTTAGCATTTTATACGTTGTTATCATGTACTCCCTATCTCTCCTGTCCTTCAGTGTCGTCAGGTAGATATCCTTTAACCTTTCCTCATAGGACATTCCTCTTAGCTCCGGGGCTACTCATGCAAATATTTGCACTTTCTTGACGTGCTTGACCGGGTGTGGGCTCCATACTGGTGCTGCATACTCCAACATGGGCCTGGCGTACACGATGTACAGAGTCTTGAATGATTCCCTGTTAAGGAGTCGAAATGCTATTCTTAGGTTTGCTAGGCGCCCATACACTGCAACAGTTATTTGGATGATGTGCACCTCAGGAGATGTGCCCGGTATTGTAATCACCCTAAGAACCTTTTCTTTGAGTGAGGCTTGCAGTCTTTGGCCTTCCCTAGCCTGTACTCTGTCTGCGGTCTTCTTTGTCATTACCCAATTTTCATGACTTTGCGCTTTGTGGGGGTAAACTCCAGGAGCCATTTGTTGCACCAGGCATGCAGCCTGTCTAGATCCTTTAGTATAGTCCTACTTGATCCTCATCCACTTGAATTCTCCGCATTAGTTTCACATCATCTGCAAGCAAGGAAACCTCTGCATCTACCTCTTCCGTCATGTCAATCACATATACCAGAAACATCAATGGCTCTAGAATTAACCTTTGTGAAACTCCACTCGTCACATTTACGCCTCATCGCGTACCATCACTCGTTGTTTCCTACCTGTCAAGTATTCACTAATCCACTGAAGTGCCTTACCTGTTATTCCTGCCTGCTCCTCTAGCTTTTGCATTAACCTCTTGTGCAAAACTGTGTAGAAATAGCGTACCTAACTGACTGTTGGAGAAACGCCCGCAACTAACAGGAACAAACACGTGCGCCTTTGAAAAGGCATTGATTTCCGACTACCAACAACGCATGATTTTTTTTTTTTAGTAGACTCAAAGTTAGCGAAATTTATTTAGCGGAAGCTAATTGGTCCGCTAACGGTTTCCGAAGTTAGGGGAAACACTAATCCGTTAAACAAAAAGATAGTTCTGCTAATTAGCGGTTAGTGAATCAGGGGAACTGTACCCACCACTGCCTACCATCCCGTTTTCCTGGAAACATTTCTGTCTCCATTGCAAAAAAAACTCCTTGAATCTCAAGTTGAGCTACTCACATATTTCTTTGTCATTTCTTGTGACCTCCCCTCTTTCCTTCCTCAGGATGATTACCTGGTCTTTGACTGCTATTTTCCTCCTGATGTGGCTGTACAACAGCACTGGGTAAGATATGGCTTTCGATGACATGTCATTCTCGTACTGCTGATGGGTCTCCCTTCATATCCATGTATATTCGTTTCTGACTCTTCGGCTCATCTCCTTATTTTCTTTAGTCTTTTGTTTTCCATTTTTCCATGCTCTAGCGCACTTAGCTTTGACCTCTCTACACCTTCGGGTGAACCAAGGGCTCGTTCTGTGTTTTCCATTGTTTCTGTTTGTGTATGTGTGTACTCACCTAGTTGTACTCACCTAGTTGAGGTTGCGGGGGTCGAGTCCGAGCTCCTGGCCCCGCCTCTTCACTGATCGCTACTAGGTCACTCTCCCTGAGCCGTGAGCTTTATCATACCTCTGCTTAAAGCTATGTATGGATCCTGCCTCCACTACATCGCTTCCCAAACTATTCCACTTACTGACTACTCTGTGGCTGAAGAAATACTTCCTAACATCCCTGTGATTCATCTGTGTCTTTAGCTTCCAACTGTGTCCCCTTGTACTGTGTCCAATCTCTGGAACATCCTGTCTTTGTCCACCTTGTCAATTCCTCTCAGTATTTTGTATGTTGTTATCATGTCCCCCCTATCTCTCCTGTCCTCCAGTGTCGTCAGGTTTGATTTCCCTTAACCTCTCCTCGTAGACATACCTCTTAGCTCTGGGACTAGTCTTGTTGCAAACCTTTGCACTTTCTCTAGTTTCTTTACGTGCTTGGCTAGGTGTGGGTTCCAAACTGGTGCCGCATACTCCAATATGGGCCTAACGTATACGGTGTACAGGGTCCTGAACGATTCCTTATTAAGATGTCGGAATGCGTTCTGAGGTTTGCTAGGCGCCCATATGCTGCAGCAGTTATTTGGTTGATGTGCGCTTCAGGAGATGTGCCTGGTGTTATACTCACCCAAGATCTTTTTCCTTGAGTTGAGGTTTTGAGTCTCTGACCCCCTAGACTGTACTCCGTCTGCGGCCTTCTTTGCCCTCCCCAATCTTCATGACTTTGCACTTGGTGGGATTGAACTCCAGAGCCAATTGCTGACCAGTTCTGCAGCCTGTCCAGATCCCTTTGTAGTTCTGCCTGGTCTTCGATCGAGTGTATTCTTCTCATCAACTTCACGTCATCTGCAAACAGGGACACCTCAGAGTCTATTCCTTCCGTCATGTCGTTCACAAATACCAGAAACAGCACTGGTCCTAGGACTGACCCCTGCGGGACCCCGCTGGTCACAGGTGCCCACTCTGACACCTCGCCACGTACCATGACTCGCTGCTGTCTTCCTGACAAGTATTCCCTGATCCATTGTAGTGCCTTCCCTGTTATCCCTGCTTGGTCCTCCAGTTTTTGCACCAATCTCTTGTGTGGAACTGGTCAAACGCCTTCTTGCAGTCCAAGAAAATGCAATCCACCCACCCCTCTCTCTCTTGTCTTACTGCTGTCACCATGTCATAGAACTCCAGTAGGTTTGTGACACAGGATTCCCGTGTGTGTGTGTGTGTGTGTGTGTGTGTGTGTGTGTGTGTGTGTGTGTGTGTGTGTGTGTGTGTGTGTGTGTGTGTATGTGTGTGTGTATGTGTGTGTGAGTGGTGTGAGTGTGTGTGTGTGTGTGTGTGTGTGTGTGTGTGTGTTTGTGATTCCCCATCACCCTTCCTCAGTCTGATTACCTGGTCCTTGACTGTTGTTTTCCTCCTGATATGGCTGTACAACAGCTTCACGTCAGTCTTGACTCTCGATGCTATGTCATTTTCATATTGTCGCTGAGCCTCCCTTCTTATCTGTGCATATTCGTTTCTGGCTCTTCGGCTAATCTCTTTATTTTCCTGAGTTCTCTGTCTTCTGTACCTTTTCCATTCTCTAGAACACCTAGTTTTTGCCTCCCTACACCTTTGGGTGAACCAAGGACTCGTTCTGTTCTTCCCATTATTTCTGTTTCCCTTGCCACATAGTCCATCATTTCTTGTACTGGTTTTCCTGTCAGTTCCCTCTCCCACTGAATGTTTTGAAGGAAGTTCCTCATGCCTTAGTAGTTCCCCCCCTTTTGTAGTTTGGGTTTTTCCCCCCTATTCAGCACTCCTCCACTTGGGGCCAACTATGTAAAATGGTATCTTGGGTTTTTTTTTTTTGGTGGTTTTTTTTTTTCAGTACTACATCCATAATGTTGGCCTCCATTTTTGGGGACCCCATGGGGCTCCAGGTTTTCCCAGTCAATCTTTTGTGTTTGGGAAATCCCCCATAACTGTAATTTTGCCCCCCTCATGTGTGCTCTCCGGCCCCCTGGCTAGGGTTCGTCAGGCTCTGTTGCTTCATCTATTCTTCTCTTGGTCCCCGCATTTCTGTGGGGGGGTTTACATTACTGCAATTATCACCCAATGTCCCTCAGATTGGTTTTCCTACTAAGTAGCCTTTTATCCGTCCCCACCCTTTCCCTTCCATTTTCTAAAAACCCCCCAGGTTTTTAATGAGCGGCAACCCTCCCCCCTCTCCCCCCTCTGCTTTCCTGAGGATTTGATTCCGGGTGGAAAAGATTAAATTTTTTATTATTCTGGTGATTTTTTCTGTGAGTGCTTTATGTCTGGGGATGTCTCTTTTCTTTGGCCATTTCTCAACTTTTTGTTATTCCATCTGCTTTGTTTCCACACCTTCAACTTTTTTTCTAAGACTGGGGGCTGGGAGGTGTATTGGGGGGGGGAAGTGGGAGCCCTGAAAAGGAACTAGGGGGGGTATGGGGGGTGGAGTTTGTAATGAAAGGAGGGGGGCATTGGATGGGGCATGGGTGTTTTCGTTTAGAGTGTTTGGCTCACTGGGTTGCCCTGGTTTCATGTGGTTGTGTGGTTTTGTGCGGTGTCTCTCTCTCTCTGGCGTGTAGTGTGTGTGTGTGTGGCGTGTCCCGTGTGTGTGTGTGTGTGTGTGTGTGTGTGTGTGTTGTGTGGTGTGTGTCTCTGTGGTGTGTGTCTCTGTGCGTGTGCTTTGTGGTGGTGTGTGTGTTTGTGTGTGTGTATG